TAGTCGTTAGAGTTTGGCTATACTGCTAATTACACCAAATTTATTCAATTGAGGATTGCAGTGGCAAGTGGAGCTCACAAGTCGCTAACTCAAGGTAATTTATGGTTAGACTAAAGAAACAGATTCTGAGACTGACATTGAACAAAATACATCAACATTTATTAGGTCTTTCCACATAGTATACACCTTTAATATCAACAGTTAAACATCTACTAAACCATTAGTTTCTTAACAATTCTAACTTTCACTTTTCAGTTAAACACTATTAATCAATATATATAGAGAAAATATTTCTCCCTGTTATAATCATCAACTTTCTTTTTAAACTACCTTAATTGAATAAGAGAGATAGCAATTCTATACTTACAACAACATCTGACTGGTATATCTCTGAAGGTTGGAAATTTTTATCTTCATGTTGACTTGGAAACCTCGATTCGTCCTAGAGAGAACTTAACTTTTAGCTCCAGACACGAGTTTTTATACTGTATTTTCATTGTATCCTTTCGATTTGGAATCCCTAGCCCACCAAACATGCTCGCCTTTCAGCCATGGGAGTGTTATAATGTGACAGTCAATCCCGCTATTTGTTGGTAAAGGAGTAACCCAAGAGTTGGCGGTGTATGGTGATGACTAGCTGCCTTCCCTCTAAACTTTCACTGCTATATTAGGGACGGCTAGTGCAGATAGCCGTCGTGTAGCTTTGCGCGAAATTTAAAAACAAACAAACAAACTGATCACATGTGATTGCCTGAGAGCAGGATTAACCCAATGTACAGTTGGCACATTCTGTTTTGTCTGAATCATGTGATTAAGTATAGAAATTTGTGCCAATTAAATTACGCAAAAATCATTATCCGTGAATTTTTTTTAAGTTAGAGGGTTATAATATCTAAATATTTTAATCGATGTGACCTATCCCAGAGCTCAACTCTTGTATCAGTTTTGTTCTTATTATACATAGTTTACATAAATGTAATGATACTGATACAAAATTATTGACTGAAATCGTTAATATTTACGTAGGATGCCATTTTTTTGACGTTTTGGGTAATATATATGTTCACATATACAGTGGCGTAACTACAAAAGATGCTCCCCCCACATGAAAGTAATTGGGCCCCTTACATTTGTTACCCATTAATTAATCCTTCTGGCTTGGGGTCCCCCTCGTACTTGTGGGGGGCTGCGGGGGCATACTTACGTCAAATTTTATATGGCTTCTAATAGCTGGTTATTCTACCCAATATAATCAAATCTAATTTTAGTCAGAAGTAGAGTTTAACTTCTAAAACTCACCCATGTAAAGATAAAGCAAAAACTGAGATTTGAAAAATGTACGTCGTGACTGAAAATTACAATATTATTTGACTTGATACCAGGTTAAAAAACATTCAAAATAGTTTTGATGATATGTCTATACATTTTATAACTTTAGACTTTATAGCGATATATAAGTCTATATAGTTATACACAATAGATATTAATATTGTAATAAATATCTATACACAATAAGTGTATCACGTATGATATGCAGACAAAGTGTATGCATATTTTGTATAAAAATTCAAACTATAAACGTGGAAGAATCGCATTCAAAATTGTTAAATAATATATTTTATTGTTTTCTGATTGAAAAATAAATTTAAAATACTTCAATAACAAAATTGTTGCAAAACAAGCAGCAGAATGTTAGTTTTAACGCATGCATAGCGGGAAGCTTGAGAAAATTTGTAGTTCGAGTACGCGGGTGGATACAGTACAAAACCGTGTCTTTCAATCTGTATAATTTCTCTTAATAAGAAAACAGTTTTTAACTTTAATGTTCCATTTTGATGAAACATTGGACTTTTAGAGGGAATGTCTTATACATGTACTACAGATGTTTTTGGGTAATTCATTGAGTATTTCTTACTATATGAGGTTTGTACGTTGTTCATTTTATATCTGTATTAATTTTAGTAATTGAATTGATTATTTGAAACCGAGAAAAATGTATAAAAGCCATTACAAAGGGAATTGTGTTAGTTGGCTGACATTTCCAGTTAGGCTTAATCATTTAGTTAAAATGTTAACAAGAACCCTGAAGTTTGTAAAAGTTATAATGACTTTGGCTTAGGCTTAACGCAAGAGGATCACGTGTAGTTCGAATGTCTAATTATTTTATAGATAAAATTGATTATAAACAGAAGTTACGCTTGTGCATAGACGATTTATCTGTATCAATAACTCTTTATACTATAGGTATATTTTATTTTTAGATGAGTTTAGTACTAATAGCTTTATATTAACGTTACTCGTGGCAATCACCGAAAGTGCAACAGCGAATCACTCGGTCAGTGTTGCTATGAGTATGACTGAGCATTGAAAATATGGCAATAACAAAGGCCTGCGAATTTAAACTTCATGAAACTTGTTTTGGTTTTAATAACGGATTTTCCATAATTCATCTCCGCAGATTTCGAAAATAACATTAATTTTTTTCTATCACGTAAAGATTTTTTACAAATCTGGAAGAAAAAGCTTTACTTAGAATAGTTAGATCAAATTATTATTTCGTTTACGAAAATGAACATTATTTATTATTATGTTTGTTAACAAAAATGCTTCTTATAGTTTTACCAAGCAAGGATAATACCATGATATATGCCGATTCCATTGATATACATGTGGCAATATGTAATACAACACCTATACTTAATGCTCACAGCCACACAGTGTGCTACAGCCAATGCACATTTCAAACAGTGGTCAGGAATACCAACTAGTTGGATGCACATTTCAAACAGTGGTCAGGAATACCAACTAGTTGGATGCACATTTTCATCCTCAGCAGGGAATGTGTAAAATAAGTAGAATGCAATGTTTGTTTTAGTTTTCAAACTGACAATGTGTAAACATCAAACTTCCATACGTAGCTATTGCACAACAGATAGAGCTGGGCAATTAACTCGATTAATCAGTGCAACTGATTACCCATGAGGATCAGTTATGTCAGTTAGTGTCATGTAAAATTATCAACATAATGATTCAGTTGATTAATGTCATGGAAATAATGAAATACTATATCTGATTATTCAAATTATCCAGTAATTGAAATATTAATAGTATTTGCTGTTAAAAAAAAAGAAGTAATATTTTAGTGGTAACTTTAATCATTTCAAACTGTTGGAAAACTGACAAAATGTATATTTATGTCCTTGTTTCTGTAAGTTGTGATCTGCTACATCTTGCAGAGGTAATTCGTAGACCATTTTATGAGCTAGCTTATAAATCAGTCGTACCAGTAGGTTCCATGAGACCATATACCCATTACCAAGTGATTAAAACATAATTTTAACCCATATCTTCTTTTCGAACAACAACTCTACGAATCACTTTTACTTCTTTAAATCTGTGAGAAAAATCTCAGCTGGATTTTTTTATTATAGAAAAAACTGCAGCTAACAGAATGTCCTGTTCTTATCCAGTATGGGAAGGGAAAGTGGTTTTAACTATGCAAAAGGTACTTTTCCTGATATTTGTTGTGAAATTTTCTTCTTAGTTCAGTTTTAATATTTTTATTTTATGAAATTTTAATTTAACCTGTGATTTACACAAAAAATTTGAAATTTCTTTTATAAGTAAATGTGAAATATTTACTATATTTAGATGAGTTTCTTTTTTTTTTGTTTGATAACAGTCGAGCTAAAGATTTATTTTATTCTATTATAAAGGTTGTCAATCCTTCACATTTTGTGGTAAGAGAAGCTCCCAGTATTCACATGTCTAAAAATCTTAAGGAGTTCATCAAATTGGAGGAGCTAATCAATAGAAACCTGAAACACATTCATTCTAATCCTCACTCGAGTGATTTGCCTTTTTTGGGATCTGTAAGTAGATAGTATTTAATATTAGAACATCTAAAGATTCCCTCTTTGAAATACAGCTTTTCAGTTCTAACATATTTCAATGAGTAATTTTTGGTTTCTGTGTTTCATGTACAAAAGTGCACTGAGATCTGGTAATAACATAGTTTGAATTTACTGCAGAATACATTGGTAAATGGGTGTGTGGTATATTTATGAACATTATGGTCATAAGTAACTAGTAATAACAGATGGAATTCTGCAGAATAGATTGGTAAATAGTTGTGTGGTATATGTATGAACATCATGGTTATATGTTCAAGTAGTGTCAACACTTAAGTTAGTTACAAAATATTGGTATTGCCAGCATTTATTTTGAACTGGTTAACCTAGCACAAGATTGTAATGTTTTATCAATTATGATGTTATCCTGAAATGTATAATTGATATATTTATAATCTCTGATTACTTTTTTAATAATTTGTTACATTCAAGGGAAGAGTAGAAACCTTTTAAGTTGGAGTGTAATTTTGCTTATATTTGTTTTTCATTTTATATTATAGCTCGTTATAGTTCATTGTTCTCGTGATAAACAATGGTATAGAGCAAGAATAGAAGGAATTGTAGACAGTACCAGAGGAGTATGTGTCAGGTTTGTTCTATATATGTATATACAATTTTTCTGAAACAAAGAAGGGTAATTTTTATTCTTTAAGCAGAATGAGTTAAAAAAAAAATGAAAAATTGGAGACTAACGTATTCGATGATGAGGAACCCACTTTGAGACTAATAATGGTTGGAGATGGCTTGACATTTACTGTATTCTTTTACTTTTTCTGAATTTTGTGTGAAAGACAGACATTCATAACAAAACAAAAATGTTTAAATAAAATAATTCATTACAAGTCTAGAATATGCTTGAGAATAAATTTAACTTTCGTGCTATGGGCTCAGTTGAATCGACCTAAAATCTTAACCCCCAAATTGACCTTTAGAGTTTTCATACCATAACTTTTAACATGTTTTGTGTATCTTCATGAAATGTTGGAATTTTTCAGTAAACGTTACAAGTCTTTCATAGACAAAAAAAATCAGAATTTTTAATGAAGTATTTTTTCCAAAAAATTCTCCATGAATATATGGAGTCAAAATGCAGACTGTTCCAAGTGAAAAGTGATTTTCACGTCAAGATTAAAAGTACTTTTCTTCATCTGATAATTGTCAAATTTCATTTGCGTAACTTCCATAACCTCTTAAATAAACTTTAAACATGTTTTTCTTAGTAAAACTTTATATTTTATCTGTTATTTTCTCTAGACTAATTCTGTATAGGATTGATCAAATTTACCAACTTTGTTACCACCATAAAACAAATATGAATTAAATCTAAATTACCATTTTTTTTTCTTTCTAGAATTACTTTTGTACCTTGTGAAAATTTATTATTATTTTTCTTTATCTTACCTAATCTATCTCACCTTGTCTAGTGTAGTAAAACTCTATTTTTTTAATTTTTAGTTACTTTTATAATAACAAATAAAGAATACACTTGAAAAACAAGAAATATAATACTTACCTGGGTCTTGTTTCTTTTTTTCTGTCAACTGTTGATGAACCTTAACCCTACCTTTTTAATACTAATGGTACTACTACACTAAATAATTTTTTACTTAATTAAATAATACACCTAAGACATGAAATAATAATGTGTAAAAAGCACACAATACCCTATAACTATCATAATTTTTCTGGCTTTCTAACTGTGCAATAAAGGCTGTTAAAAATTCGACTAAGCTCGTTGATGTGTTTACCATGGGAATAAAGTTTGAACTGGAAACAAAATAGACAATTCTCTGTACAGAAAACAATGTAATATAATTTGTCATTTAATAGATGAAAATCTTGGCTTTCTATTGATTATAAATAATTTAGTATGAAATGTCGGAGATAACTATTGACAATTTGTGAAAGAGAGGATATGACAGGTGAGTGTGGCAAAAGGGGGCTGATTTTCTGTTTTATGGCTCTGTAGCCAAATAAGATTGAAGGCGGAGGGTGGTAAATAAATTAAAGAGGGGATACTTAAAGAGAAAATGTTACAATCATCATACTAGGGTGAGATCGAGGATTTTTAAAAATATTTTCTTATAAAATTTAGAACCTAAAATATATATTAATACTTGATTTATTAACTCCTTTTTTTACCAAGTTTATTTGTATACCATGGTAATAAAGTAGTTTAATTAAATTTTGTATGTAACTCTTTTAAAAAGTTGTGACACGCACATTTTGACCTACCTGTAGTGACAGGGTTAAAACTCTAAAAAGAAACAAATGAAACAGCCAGAGATAAAAGAAATAAACCAGGTCTCAAGTGGATTAGCAAAAATATGTTTAAATTGGATTATTTAATAGAAATAAATTAAACCATTTATACAAAGGGAAATTAAGCACATTTAAAAACATGAAATTTCTTAAGAAGGCATTTTTCTTATTGAATCAAAGAATTAAAAAAAAGCTAAGTAGATATATATAGAGAAAAACTTGCTAAAATTTAGAAGAATTGACTTAAAAAAATTAACTTTAGGATTAATTCTAAACCTAAATAATTTATTCTGCCATATATTGGACAAACTAGAATATAAATACATTTTTTTTGAATTACGTGTGTTCAAACTAAACAAAATCTCACCTGCATATATTTTTATACCTTTGCTTAAATATTTAGTAAAAATAGAAATGTGACATTTGTTATTTTCTCAAGGGACCAGCTTTTTGCTTTGAATATTACAGATGTTCCAAATAATCTTTTAAGGTTTTTAGGTTGTTTTAAAGCTTTACAGTAACTTGTATTAATTAGTTGGCTTTTTAAATTTATGAAGAAAGATTTCAGTTATTGCTCTTCTAAGCTTTGTGTAATCGGGTCATATCTAATTGAGAAAGACAAGCTTAGTTTATTGAAGATGTATACCAAAAAGTTGAAAGTGAAAAATAGTGGTTTACATTACCTACTTGAAAGTCTGTATCTAAAAAAAATATAATCAATTAGATTTAATGTGGTTTACCAACGTTTTTTACAATTTGAACTTATCTTTTCACTAAAGTGAATGGAAAATTCCACATTCAAAAATGTTTGATGTACAGGGACACGTAAACTTGTGATTCGCAAGTAATAGCATTTATAGCTTTTTTTGTTTGTTTGTAATCATCTGATTTGTAATACCAGAGTTTATTAAGTATTACATAATTTTAGATATAAATTTGCTGCTCTAAAAGTAAAAACTATTTAGTGTAGGTGAGGACAGGGGTTTCAAAATGTCCACCAGATCCATATTACAGGTAAAAGATGCATGTATTCTGATGAGTCAACTAGAAACTTAGAGATGCAAAAAAATTAATAAAGTAATTAGTAAATGAAAGAAAATAAAGGCTTCTACTTACTTGTCAAGCCCCTCCCCAAATAAAAAAGAAAAGAAAATATGGCTTGGATGAGAGGGAGGGGCACTGTGAAACAGATACTAGGGAAGGTACATATAAACTAAAAAAATATGATGAAGGGGGGAGAGCATAGCCTCATTTTTTATTCCTATGAAACAGGGTTACAGGGGTATGTGGGACTTTTGGGGGGGGATCTGAGATTAAGATTTTTTTTCTCATGATCTTGGGATTTGGAATTTTAATTTTCTGGAAATTCAGGATTACAGAATTAATTTTTATGAAATCTGGGATAATCCCCTTCGCATCCCTACCCCTTATTACTGATGATGATACTAAAAGCATTACATATTAATTCTAATCAAGTTTAACAGGTATTCATTACAATATTTTAAGGTTAATTTATTCTCTGTGCTTTTTTATAATTCTGGAAATATACCTAATAAAAGGAAACATCATTTAAATTGTCATGAAAATAGGAACATGACGATTTACATTGAGATCAGGAAGCAGAACACTTGACTATTGTCTATAGCATCATGTGACTGATTCAAAGTTTTGTTTTAACTAGATCATGTATAAAATCTAACACATTACTCCAGAAATAATTCATTTAATCAAACTAACATTTCACCATTACAGCTTCATCAAGTAAAATCCATGATGAAGATGTAATAGTGAAACATTGGTTAAATAAAATTAATTATTTTTGGAGTACTGTGGTCTTTTTTATATATAATGTAATCTAGTTATAACAATGTCTAAAATACTCTAGTCAACACTACTACATTTAAAGAAAGGATTACTGAAGTGTTATTTGACCTTCATTATAGATGCACTAAAATAAGAACATTTCCATGGTTACAAAAATGAGAAGTTTGATCTGAAAGATATTTTTTATCATTCATAGACTTTATATTAATTAATAATCAACAAAGATTAATGCAAAAACTATGTTACACTCACACCCAAATTTTCACTTAACTCGCAGGGTGTATAAATGTAAAAGCACCCTGAATTTCTTTAAAACAAACTAATTCTTTACTACAGAACAAACTAAGTACATTACAACATTAAAAATATTGCTATT